CTATACAAAGTTAAAGTGTGTTTCTTGAGACATAATTCACTACTACACAATTCACCCTTTGAAATTATTAAATTCAATCCATTTAGCTTATTCACAGTGTTGTGAATCTATCACAATGATCAATTTTGGAACGTTTTCATCACTCCAAATAGAAACCCTATTCCAATGAGCCTCCACCCTTCAATATTTGCATTGCCCTCAGACCTATGTTACCATTCATCTACTTTTAGTATCTCCAGATTTGTTAATCCTGGATATTTGATAAAAACAGAATCCTACCGTGTGTCACCTTTTGTGTCTGACTTCTGTCACTGAACATGTTTTCAAGGCTTATCTGTGTTGTATCATTTCTTTTTATTTCCAAATATCATAATGTTCCATTGCATGGACATACCACATTTTGTTTATCCGTTGATTAGTTCTTTTTTTTTGAGACAGAGTCTCAAGCTGTTGCCCTGGGTAGAGGGCAGTGGTGTCACAGCTCACAGCAACCTCAAACGCTTGGGCTTAAGCGATTCTCTTGCCTCAGCCTCCCAAGTAGCTGAGACTACAGGCGTCTGCCACAACACTGGCTACTTTCTTGTTGCAGTTGTCATTGTTGTTTTAGCTGCCCTGGACCAGGTTGAAAGCTGCCAGCCTCGGTTTATGTAGTGTATGTGGCCGGCGCCATACCCACTGAGCTATGGGAGCCACCCCATTGATGAGTTCTTATAGATTTGAGTCATTTCCACTTTAGGGGTATTACAAATAATGCTGCGATGAACAATCTTGTCTATGTTTTTGTGGGAACATATGTTTTTATTTCTTCCTTATTCAAACTGCAATAACTTAAAGTCACACGTATCTAAGCTTGATGCTCTCTGAGATGTTTTTAGTATAACCATATTAGATTGCCTGAGAAATGAGAGATTGGGGATCTAACTGAATTTTTGATAAATTTTCTGGGTTCATCAACCTTCCCTTCTGCCAACACTCTTAAAATTAGCCCTTGAGGCTCGGCGCCTGTGGCTCAAGCGGCTAAGGTGCCAGCCACATACACCTAAGGTGGCGGGTTCGAAATCCAGCCCGGGACCGCCAAACAACAATGATGGCTGCAACCAAAAAATGGCCAGGCGCTGTGGCGGGCGCCTGTAGTCCCAGCTACTTGGGAGGCTGAGGCAGGAGACT